CTCTCTCTCTCTCTCTCTCTCTCTCTCTCTCTCTCTCTCTCTCTCTCACACACACACGTCACTAGGAGCTAGCAACTCAGACTCGTTACCTGTAACAATGGCCGTCTTCCCGTTCAGCTTCACTGAACTGGAGCACATAGCTCCCTTGAACACACTGTAATAAACTATCATATAAAGGAAAAGTGCTCCTGCTACGAGGCACAGCAACGCAGACATCACTGCGCGGAGCTCTCTTCTTCTTCTTCTTTCTTCTTCTTCTTCTTCTTCTTTCAGGTTATTGGCGGACTACAAACCAACGTTTAAGGTGCATGCCGCCACCTACTGTACCGGAGTGTGTAACATCATGACTTTATGACAGTTATTATTTAAACACAATACTAATGGTATTTATAAATTAAAACAAATAAACTTCATATAGAAGTTATATTCTGGATATTAAACCTGTTCCATTCAAAAATGTACATGAAGCCCTTTTAAGCTGAACTTGTTGTCCCCTATCTCTAACAGTCCTTTGACGCTCCACTCCCTTGCTGTATCTGCACTCTGCCCTTCAGTCTTTCTCTTTCCACACTGAACTTCCTCCACTCTATCAGCACATGTTCAACACTTTCTTTACAGTTACATATCTCACATTTATCTGACTCTGTCTTTTTCATGATGTATATAACGTGTCATTGAGTCCTGTATGTCCTAGCCTTAATCTACAAAATTCAACTGACGTTCGAATTTTGTTATAATTTCTACCCTTACTCTCATTCCAAATTTCCTGCCAAGATGTAATGATTCCGTGCTATTACTGATTTTGCTTCTGACCTCCCAGAACAAATTTGCGAAATGCTGCTACTAATAACTGCTGGACTATGTTGTGTGGTATCGCATTAGAAATGTTTCACTTTCCTGTTAATGTCCCATCCAAAGCTTTCACCAGAGAATGTGGAGTACTCCCAACAATTGTGCAGGACAGTCGATGCTATATTTCCGTTAAGTCCACCCTGAATTCTAATCCAGTGTGATAGTGCTAACCTAGTTCTCCTCAGATGTAATGGCAGTTCCCTGGATTCCACCAGCAATGCATTAATGTGGTTTTGACTGCTCCCAAGCTAAGTCTCATGGCTCTGTATTGTAGTCTAATTTAACACCTTTTTACATTTGGTCTCAATGTTTTCAATATGATTTTTCCATGTATATTTTTCATCAAACCATAAACCAAGATATTTAAAAACTCTAGCTCTATCCATGGGCTTACTGTATAATGTTAGCTCCTGTCCATTACCTATTTTCTTTTTGGTAATCAGTATATAGCATCATTTTTCAACTGAAATTTTGAATCCCCAGTCATAAGACCATTAATCTACATTGATGATTGCTTTCTGCATACTTTTCATCACATAAGCAACATGTTTTCCCCTCTTCCAGATTACTCCATCATCTGCATATAATGATGACTGTATACCTGTTCCTGTATTTTCAAATATATCATTAATCATGATGTTAAAAAGAATTGGACTGATGACGCTACCTTGAGGTTTCCCGTTAATGATGTCAAAACTTTCTGAAATTTCGTACTTTAACTTGAAATGTTTCTATTTGATAAAAAGTCCAAAAGTCCAGCTTGCTCATTTTAATTAGTCCATCTCTCCACATGGAATCATATGCTTTGTCAATGTCAAAGAACACTGAAGCCATCACTTCCTAAGGGTCTTTTCTATTTCATCGCTTACTTTAATTAGAGCTGTAGATCTTCCTGTTCTAAAACCACTCTGATATTCATTTAACAACTTTCTTCTTTCTACAACATACGATAACATACAAACAATAATTTTGTCAATCCATTCACATAAGTGGGAGGTTAATGCTATCGGTCTGTAGTTTTTAGCATTATTAGCTGACTTTGTTAATCATGAAAGTAACAAGATTTTTTTAAAGAGTAATGCAAAACCATGGCGCTTTTGACAAAAGTGACAAGATGATATCATTTAAAATTAAATTTGAGTTTCATCATCATCATAAATAATTTACTTTGAAGGTCAGTCAGTCCAACACCAACAGCTTTGCATCCGGTTGGGCTTCCAGTTTAGCATTACTGAACCACCAGATGTCGCCATGTGCATTCTAAGTAACCCTCTATCGTCAAAGACAAATCCAAACATTATACTGTCTGTATTCAAAAATACTCTAGTTTGTACTCAAACTAATATAATTGTGATACAACTGTATTGAAATGGTGTGCTTTAGTCATGGGCTGACTATAACAATGCCCAAAAAAATAATGTAATCTAATTACATATAATTATTTAAATTCATAAGAGTGTATTGGTTCTCTTGTAAAAGTGACAAGAGAAAGCGAGGTCCAGAGTGGCACAGCCTAAAGCCAGTATAAATCACAGTGTTAACACTTCTGACTATGGTTAATGTTTGTAATTACATTACTCATTACTGTTTTGTCAAGTAACCAGGCCAACTGTAGAGGATGTTCTTTCTTTTTATTTGACCTTTCCAGTGCAGACAAATTACATATGGAAAAATAAAAAAAGAAGGAAAGCATTAAATAAAACAAATAATAAAAATAAAGACACTATTGGTCTTCTACAGCACAGTCTAATAACTGAGTATAGTAGTTTTGTGTGTATGAAGTACTGTGTATGTGCATGGTTGACCTGGGGAGAGTGCACATGAGTAGTAATGTGTGTATTGAATGTGTGTGCTGAGGCCTGTACAAGTGTAAACCTAAACAGTGACATTCAAAGGACTTCTGTCAGCGTGGATAGATTGAGATTCCGATCATACCCTCCTTTCACTGCCACTTCACTCTTCCCCTAAAAAGATAAAAGACCAGTCGTACTTGTTAGTTGTGTCACCATGATTTAGCAACTTTCATAAATGTAATGTAGTGTTTATGAAGTCCTTTTATTTACTGTGTTGTGTTTGCATGTAATGGCCAGATAACTCTAAATGAAATCTAAACAGGATTTCTATAACGTCGATGATGATTTCATCAGCTGCGGTGTTCCCCCCGCTGCTCCAGGGGTGAGGAATGTGATGGATGATGAGATTAGAGTTGGTTTATATCTTGACAATGGAATAGTTGTGGCTCACTAGCACATACACAAATACCTCTGCTGGTTTGAATGTTTGTGATGAAGTGGATCTAGCCTGAACTTTTTTTAGGGGTGGTGAAGTTATCATTTGTGTGGAAGTTACATGATGGTGAGATGAATACCCAATCAGAAGAGTTTTCTGTTTGTAGTCGGTTTTATAGACAGGTGTATTTTTTCTTGAACCATCATGACTTTGTTCTCATTTTGAATTGCCACCTGGCGCCTGTTTTTTGTGTTTTCCTTTACATTAATAAAGACTTTTCCACGATTAAATTGATGCAGATTGCAGGAAATAAAGTGTTTGTGTGACGATTTACGGTCAAGCTCAAGCTCAAGCCATGAGAATCAACCCTGTTTTCCACGTGTCTCTTCTCAAGCCCGTACACTCCAGTCCTCTGAACCCTCCAGCCGAACCCCCTCCACCCCCCACCCCCCGACTCATCGAAGTCGGTCCGGTATACACAGTCTACAAAGGTAGGGGTTACCAATACCTCGTTGATTGGGTGGGGTATGGCCCGGAGGAACGATGCTGGGTTCCACGCTCCCGGATTATGGATCTGGAGCTACTCCACACATACTATCGCCTGCACCCCAATAAGCCTGGCGGTTCGCCGGGAGGCTCCCGTTGAGGGGGGGGTACTGTGAGGATTTATGTCTAACCCTAGTGTGTTTCCCTCTGTGTTTTCCCCGATCACCTCTCCTCATGTGCACTGTCGTTCCCCTGTCTGTTTGTTATTGTTTTGCCACGTGCTTGTGTTTGTTTCGGACTTACAAATGCACCAGCAGTTTTCCAGGCTTTGGTAAACGACATGCTCAGGGATTTTCTCAACCGGTTTGTGTTTGTCTACATCGACGCCATTCTGATATACTCCTCGAACCTACAGGAACATTGCCACCATGTCCATCAGGTCCTTCAGCGCTTACTGGAGAACCAACTCTTCATCAAGGCCGAGAAATGTGAATTTGTGGTTTCATCATTGAGAAGGGTGAGATTCGCAAGGACCCAGCAAAGGTTAAGGCGGTCACCGAGTGGCCGGTCCGCTCTAACCGGAAGAAGCTCCAGCAGTTCCTAGGGTTTGCAAAGTTCTACCGCCGGTTCATTCGGAACTACAGCCAGACAGCGTCACCCCTAACCAGACTCACCTCCTCTAAGGTGTATTTTTCCTGGTCCCCCGAGGCCAACCGGGTGTTTAACGCCCTCAAGGAACGATTCACATCAGGCCCCATCCTAGTTCAGCCAGACGAAAGCCGCCAGTTCGTGGTCGAGGTGGACGCCTCCGACACCGGAGTAGGAGCAGTGTTATCACTGACTCTAAGCTCCCCCCGTGCGCTTTTTTCTCTCGCCGCCTTTCCCCGGCTGAGCGGAACTATGATGTGGGCAACCGGGAGTTACTGGCCATCAAGCTGGCTCTGGAGGAATGGAGACATTGGTTGGAGGGGTCAGTCCACCCGTTCATTGTGTGGACCGACCACCGAAATCTCGAATACATCCATTCTGCCCGGCGAATGAACTCCCGCCAATCACCTACCGCCCAGGAAGTAAGAACATCAAAGCACAGAGCAGCAGCGACAGAGCACAGAGCAGCAGAGCAGCAGCGACAGAGCACAGAGCAGCAGCGACAGAGCACAGAGCAGCAGCGACAGAGCACAGAGCAGCACATCACCAGCCTGTAGTGTGGTGTGAACTGCAGCTGAGACCAAACTGCTGCTGAGACAGCGTGGAGGCCATCGGATCACACACGCCTTTATGCCTTTCACTCGCCTACCGACTTCTGCGACATACATTTGTTTGTTTGTTTTTGTGAGAACTTCTGAGCAGAGCCATCTCCTTTTCCCTCTCATTTCAGATAAACCGGAAGCAGGAACTTCCAACATGGCCACTCGGCCAGGTATGTGTGGAGACTGCAAACTCGCATACTCACAGTTAAGGGACGATTTTCACCGCCTGGAGTCTGAAGTCCGGAAAAGGGAACAGCTGATCGACGGATTCGTATCCTTAGCGGTGGCCCAGGCAAAGCATATCTCATCTATGCAATCTCAACTGGTCTCGGACACTGCGGACACTGTTCCCTGGCTACCCGGCCCTGCGGACGGGGAGTGTAGTCGGTCCTCCGACCACGAGCTGAGAGGACCTGCTATAGACCCGACCCATAGCTCCATTCTGAAACCGGCATCCTGGACGGAGGTGGTACGCCGCGGCCTCCTGAGAAAACCAGCTGGGGAGTTTCCGTTAACCACCTCCAACCACTTCGCAGTCCTGACGGAGAATACTCCCTCCCGGGCTTCCTCTACCCTTCACCCCTACTCGTTGGCGCAGACGGAGGTAACTCAACGGTTAGATGCAAGGCTTAGCGAGATAGAAGTATGGCTCCACACCATGGAAGCTAAGACGCTGGTGACTGCGGGCGTAGCCGGTGCGGCCCAAACAGACGTGGCTCCCGCTAGCCGTCTCCCTGCAGCCCCCGAGCAGCCGGGGGGCCGGGTGACTGCTCCCGGGAGGCTTAAACCTGGGGCGAAGCACTCGGCTCGCCAGCAGCCACTTCGCGTTACAAACGGGTCTTCCGCACCCAGCAGAGTTGATTTCTCAGCTGAGAGACCAACTCTGGTCATAGGCAGCTCTATTCTGAGAAATGTGAAGCTAGCGAAACCAGAGGCTACAGTTACATGTATACCCGGGGCCAGAGCAGGCGACATTGAGTCCTATCTGAAAGTACTGGCTAAAGATAACCGTAAATACAGCAAGATTGTTATTCATGTCGGCGGGAATGACACCCGACTACGGCTCTCTGAGATCACTAAAGTTAATGTGGAATCTGTGTGTACATACGCAAAAGCCATGTCGGACTCCGTAGTTTTCTCTGACCCGCTCCCGAGTCTCACCAATGATGAAATGTTTAGCCGCATGTCATCGTTTCACCGCTGGCTGTCAGCAAACAATGTGGGCTTCGTAGACAACTGGGACACTTTCTGGGGAAAACCTGGTTTGCTTATGAGGGACGGCATTCATCCCACTTTGGATGGAGCAGATCTCATTTCTGCAAATCTGACCCAGTTTCTGTATGGACCTGGTCCATGACAACCCAGAGTTCAGACCAGGAAGCAGAGTTGCAGTCTTACACACTCCTCTGAGCTTACATTAGAGCAGTTACTCACCCAAAACCACATAGAGACTGTCTGCCCCACGGCCACTTAAATTAATTAAATCAAAAATAAACGATCGAGGATTTAAACAAAATAACCTAATCCAAGTTAAAACTACCGCAACAGTCTAACAAAATAGGATAATTAAATGTGGACTCTTAAATATCAGATCTTTGTCATCTAAAGCTGTACTAGTAAATGAGCTAATATCAGATAATCATATTGATTTATTTTGTCTTACTGAAACCTGGCTGTGTAATGAAGAATATGTCAGCCTAAATGAATCAACTCCTCCAAGTCATATTAATACTCACATTCCTCGAGGCACCGGCCGAGGAGGTGGAGTAGCAGCCATCTTTGACTCAAGCCTATTATTAAACCCTAAAGCTAAACTAGATTATAACTCATTTGAAAGCTTGGTTCTTAGTCTTTCACACCCAACCTGGAAAAAAATACAGCCAGTTATATTTGTTATAGTGTACCGGGCCCCAGGTCCGTATTCTGAATTTCTATCGGAATTTTCTCAGTTTTTATCAAATCTAGTCCTTAAAACAGATAAAGTAATTATTGTAGGTAACTTTAATATTCATGTGGATGTCGAGAACAATAGCCTCAGTACATTTATCTTATTATTAGATTCGATTGGTTTCTGTCAGAATGTACAGAAACCCACTCACTGTTTTAACCAGTGGTGGGCCATTAGGGCCTGCAAGGCCTTCTCTGTTGGCCTAAACAGAATCACAAAGCTATATCTATTTTATAATTTAAAATGTTTTCTTAAATACACTACATGTATTATAATTTATAAAAATATTTTTCCCATTATCTTATTTTCTCATTGCACAGCTACTGTCTTCCTCAGTTGCTCTGCTTCCAGTGCAGCTTGTTTTAAGTAGAGCTTTTATCCAATCAGATTTCACCTCTGTATCTCTAGGTAAGAACAGAGGCCAGAGGCCTGCAGAGTCTCACCTACAGCCAGTGCAGATTAAAGTAAATGGAGACGATATTGTTGATTGCCATAGTGTTCAACCAATCAGATCTTTAGTTTGACATGTTGGGCATGTTCTTTGACTATCAGAGCCTGCGGCCGGCCTATAATGACGTCAGCATTACATGCCGCTCAGTGCCCATGTGTAGCTTTACCGCGAGTTGCAGAGTGTGCTGTGATTGGTCAGTGGTCGAGCACGTGACTATCGTGAAACGAAACTTAACAGCCAGCAGAGGCTGATGGGTAGTGAATCACATCACGTGATGCAGCTCAGGCAATCAAATATGGGCATTCTGACTGAGTGAGATGCACCATGACACAGGGAACTGAGCCGAGAAAAGACATTGCAGAGCAGTACGTTTCACAAAGCCATTTGGCATGCGTGTGTCAGCATATTGTTTTTACACACGACTTTGTGGATATCACTCCATTGATTTTGAGTTTAATCCATGTACTAAAGGTCACAGTTAAGTGGTGAATAAAAAGTAGACAGCGCTTTATGAGAGTGGCCTCGCCATGCTAATCATAGTCTATAGTGGTGCCGGCATCCCATTTATACTGTACGTTAAAGTTGTGAAAGTAAAATCCTATAATAATCTCTTTGGGTTGCGGCTTGTCCTTAAGGAATGACAGTGACTCTCACAGCCAGACCAGCTGAGAACATTATATTTTCCTGAATTTAGGCTTTTGCATTTTCTAAATGCTCTAGCTTTATTCAAATGACTCGTACCAAATGGTTTAATACGAAGATGTACATAGTTACAGCCTTAAAAATGAATAATAGCTGTGGCACCACAATGTGGTTATAAGGTGGTATTTCAGCTGCAGGACAGCAGTGAAGGCCCAGGTATAAAATGCACGGCCCGCCACTGGTTTTAACCACACTCTCGACCTGGTTCTGACTTATGGCATTAACATAGAAGATTTAATAGTCTTTCCACAGAACCCTCTTTTATCGGACCATTATCTAATAACCTTTGAATTCCTACTAACGGAGTGTAAGCAAGAGTTACTACACTAGATGTCTATCTGATGATGCCGTAGCTCAATTTAAAGAAGCGATTCCGTCTATATTTAACTCAATACCATGCTTCAATATAACAGAGGACTTCTGTGCTAACTTTAGTCCTACCCAGATTGATCATCTTGTCAATAGTGCTACAAGCTCACTGAGAAGGACACTAGACTCTATTGCTCCTTTAAAAAAGAAGTTAGTAAAACAAAGGAGGTTCGCTCCATGAAACCCTGAAACCCGCAAATTAAAGCAAACATCGCGAAAACTTGAAAGAACATGGCATTCCACTAACTTGGAAGAATCTCGGTTAGTCTGGCGAGACAGTCTTAAAACGTATAAGAAGGCCCTCCGTAATGCCAGAGCAGCTTATTACTCATCGTTAATAGAGAAAAATAAGAACAACCCCAGGTTTCTCTTCAGCACTGTAGCCAGGCTGACAGCTCTGTTGTGCCGAGTATCCCTATAGACCACAGTAGCAATGACTTCATGAACTTCTTTAATGATAAGATTCTAACTATTAGAGAGAACATTAATAATCTCCTGCACTTGACTAGTACCGATCTTTCCACAAATAGAGTAACCTTAGAAACAGCTGTAAACCCTGATATACAGTATATTTAGATGGCTTTACTCCCATCGACCTTGACAAACTGACTTCAACAATTTCTATGTCTAAACCTTCTACCTGTCTCTTAGACCCTATTCCAACTAGGAATTCTTATGCTTAAAGAAGTGCTACCATTAATTAGCACGACTTTATTAGATATGATCAACCTGTCTTTATTAACAGGCCATGTACCACAGTCCTTCAAAGTAGCTGTCATTAAACCTCTTCTTAAGAAGCCCACTCTCGATCCAGAGGTGTTGGCCAACTACAGACCGATCTCTAACCTTCCCTTTCTCTCTAAGATCCTTGAGAAAGCAGTTGCAAATCAGTTGTGACTTTCTATGTAACAATAGTTTATTTGAGGATTTTCAGTCAGGATTTAGAAAGCATCATAGCACAGAGACAGCTCTGGTAAAAATAACTAATGACCTTCTAATCGCATCAGACAAAGGACTCATCTCTGTTCTTGTCCTGTTAGACCTTAGTGCTGCGTTTCGACACCATTGACCATTACATCCTGTTGCAGAGACTAGAACATTATATTGGCATCAAAGGAACAGCACTGAACTGGTTTGGATCCTATTTATCGGATCGATCTCAGTTTGTTTATGTAAACGATGACGCCTCGATGAAGACCAACGTCAATTATGGAGTTCCACAAGGTTATGTGCTTGGACCAATCTTGTTCACCTTATATATGCTTCCTTTATGCAATATTATCAGAAAACACTCTATAAACTTTCATTGTTATGCAGATGATACTCAATTATATATATCGATCAAACCAGATGAAACCAATCAGCTTGCTAGGCTGCAAGCATGTCTTAAGGACATAAAAACCTTGATGACCTGTAACTTCCTGATGTTAAACTCAGACAAAACTGAAGTTATTCTACTAGGCCCAGAACACCTCTAACATCAGTTATCTAATGATGTTACGGGTGTAGTTAGGACCCAGGAGCAGTACGACAAGACCCGGACTGGTTTGATTTGAGTTCTTTATTAGCAACGCACGACAGGCAGAATATTCTCTGGCAGAATCCACGACAGGTTTCTCGGGGTCAAGGACAGATGGGCTGAGTAAGTTTCCAGGGCAGGGGCAAGGCGAGGTAGTCCGGGACAGGCAGGGTCGGCAACAGGGAATCAGTCCATGGGTGAGTGCGGGAAAGTTGAGCATGAAAGCAACGAACGATCTGGCAGTGAGTGTGTGTGAGGCAGGGGTTTAAATAGTGAAGAGGCAGAGTGAGCAGGTGAGAGTGATGAGCTGATGAGGTGAGTGTGACTGGCAGGTGCACTGAATGAACTGATTAGGTGAGTGAAAGGAGGAAAAGGCTAGATAGAAGTAACCGAGCTGTGACAAATGATATAGTTTCTCTAGATGGCATTGCGCTGGCATCCAGCAGCACCGTAAAGAATCTTGGAGTTACCTGTGATCAGGATTTGTCTTTTAACGCTCAGATAAAACAAATTTCTGGGACTGCCATTTTTCACCTACGTAATATTTCAAAAATTAGGCACATCCTGTCTCAAAGCGATGCAGAGAAATTAGTTCATGCATTTGTTACCTCTAGACGAGATTACTGCAATTCCTTATTTTCAGGCTGCTCTAATAAGTGTAATAATGAAATCTCTCCAGTTGATTCAGAATGCTGCAGCTCGTGTACTAACAAGAACTAAGAAAAGATTATCATATCACTCCTGTATTAGCTTCTCTGCACTGGCTCCCTGTAAAATCTAGAATAGAATTTAAAATCCTTTTACTTACCTACAAAGCCCGAATTGGTCAGGCACCATCATATCTTAAAGAGCTTATAGTACCATATTGCCCTACCAGAGAGCTGCGCTCCATTAATTCAGGGTTACTTGTGGTTCCTAGAGTCTTAAAAAGTAGGATGGGAGCCAGAGCCTTCAGTTATCAAGCTCCTCTTTTGTGGAACCAGCTTCCCGTTTCAGTCCGGGGGGCAAACACACTCACCACATTTAAGAGTAGGCTTAAGACTTTCCTCTTTGATAGTGCTTATAGTTAGGGCTGGCTCTGGTTTGCCTTGGACCGGCCCTTAGACAAACTGGTATAGGCAAAAACTACAGGGGGACTTCCTTAGGATACACTGAGCACCTCCCTCCTCCTCTTCTTCACCTCTGTCTGTATGCATTGATTTCCCATTAATGCTCATTACTAACTTTACTTCTTCCCCGGAGTATTTGTGCTTTCTCGCCTCACAGGTTCCCATGACCACAGTTTTATCTGGACACTGGTCCTTCAACCATCCATGGCCCTGCTGACACCTACTATGATCTTCATTATTAACATTATTAACACTATTACCGATACCATTAATGCACAGTACTGACTTTGTCTCTTCC